GCTTATACACAGTTCAGGATATTATTGTTCATTAATTTAAAGATGACTAAATTATTCGTCTAACGTGGTCACTAATGATGTTGTTATTTAGCCGTAGCAACATGATCAAAGTAACACAAAGAGTAGCCTGTTTTTAAAAAATTAAAGAATAAACTTTCTAACCTAAAAAGTAAAGTAATTAAATCCATAGCCAAACAAAAAAATAAAATCTAAAATAAGTGAAATCTTGAATGGGGCATGTGAAAGAGCATGCGAAATTTCAGTAGCTTCGAATTCACAAGGAAAAGAAAAGAATAGTAAAAACTCAATGAAAAAAAGAAAATAAATGAAAGTACCCATATTACGCCTTAATAGATCAAATTGATAAATTTTAATAATGTAATGAAAAATATAAAATGACAATAATATTAAAAAAACTGACCATTCGGTTAGAAATAATTTACTAAATTCATACTCTATTAGTATCAATCCAATATGCCATGCCCAACAAGCTGTCAAAAAAAATCAAGAAAGGCTTATGAAGCAAAGGCACATAAGCTTAATACTAATGTAAATAATTTTGAAGCAGAAAGTTCTGATGATATTGACAGTCTTTCTGCTTGTGACGAGGTAGTTGATAATAATGATGCTGCGAACATCATGAAGAGGCTTTAAGTATTAACTAAAAAATATAGCCATAATGATGATAATGTTGAGCTAGAAGATTATGATAGTGATGACGGTCTTCCTGCTCATAATGAGCTAATTGAGAATAATGATGCTGAAAACATTGTAAAAAAACTTCAAGATGCTGCAAATAAATATTACTGGGAATGTGATTCTAACCAAACCCGTAGACTACGTTATTTAGGAAACTCAGTTCGAACTAAAAGAAGAAAAAAACAGCAACAACATAAGGCAGCAAAAGGAACCTCTACATTACATACTTTCTGGGTCCAAAAAAAATCTTCTGAAGAAACTAGTGAAGCAGAATTGTATGATGATGTTGATGAACGATTAGAGAATGAAAGACAGTTAGAAAAATTTGATGATGAACAGTTGGCAAATAAAGGATGGTTGGAAGAAGTTGATGAGAATGATATTGGAGAAATGTTAGAAGATGAGATTGAACCCCATAATTGGAATAAAAAAATCTCAACTGCCCTTGAAAACTTAACATTAGATATCAAAAAAGAAAAT